CGCTAGTGTTAGCGTCAGTATTGTTACGTAAAACTGAAATTTCGAGAAACTCTCCACACGCCTATGAATATAACAAACGCTATGCGCCAAAAAACAGTAACTATAATTGGGTTGCTGTAATTGGTGTGCTATAAATTTCGGAGGCTATAACTGTGATTGTTATAACACTTATCAAGCGTGACACTTCAGATATTTGACCAGGAACATTAATAAATTTCGAACATTACAAATCATTCAATTTCAGTGGATACACATCGACCATTAGTACTTTTACGAAAACATTACCTAACGTCATCGGTGGAAACTTGACCTGTAATTGGCGTGTGATCAGTGAGGACTACAGGGCTAGCTAGATCCCTGTTAAGTGAATTATACCTACATCAACTCGAAATTAACTCGCTCATCGTGAACCCTAGATGAGATATCAAAGAAGTTCCAGACTAGAAAGAATACTTTATATTGCTTGTAAAACTTTTGTATATGAATCATTGTTTGTAATAACTATTATTGTAAATTGTATTATTGCTTGTATATTAAAACATCTGTATAAAACAAAGAAAACTATGTGTATAAATCTTGTTGGCAAATATCATAAAATGGATATATATCGGCAAATATCTAACTATTAAATCTAAATTACAATTTAAAATTATCATTTAGCTCGGTTTCAGATTCGAAATTTAATACGTAACATGCTGTGTCCACCACGGGTACCGAAACTCTGTTTCTAGCGTAGTTCGAACGTTTTGATATCTGTTTCCACAAGAAAAGTGAATAAATATTTATTTAAGTATCCTCCGAAAATAGACGTCTCTCAGTTTGCAATGATTATTAAATATCAACTAATCTGTTATGTAACTTTAAGTTGGCTTGGTAAGTTTTTACTTTTTGCGCAAGCGTTACTAACCAACTAATGAACTAGATTTTGTTTGTAATTAGGCACAAAGCTACACAATGGGCTATCTACGCTCTGCCCACCACGGGTATCGATTCTAGCGGATTCTAGCGTTGTAAGTCCGCAGACATACCGCTGTACCACTGGGGGGCTCCCAACTAATGAACTAGAAGCTGGTTCCAAGCTCTACAAGTTTGTTCTTCATACACGTGTTTCTGTTTTTTGTTTTTTTTTCTTATAACAAAGTCACATCGGGCTATCTGCTGTGTCCACCGAGGGGACATGAACCCCTGATTTTAGCGCTGTAAATTCGTAGACTTACCGCTGTCCCAGCGAGGGACCACACATACACACACACACACATTTAAGACCATCGAGCTGATTATTTTATGTAATTATTACGTTCTCTATAGTCTCAATTCTTGCATGGCTTGCCGGACAGGATCATACCAAAATATTTAATATTTCATGTTATGTATATTTGTTTTTATTTTTTTACTTTTAATAGCAGGTTAAGTTTCTGCTATATGATGATGCTTTATATAATTGTTATGAATTATAAATTGTAAAAAAACAAAAACAAAAACTCATCTTCACTCTTTAGGAAATATTTCATTAATTGGGTGGATTGTGAATCATAAGAGATGAGTGGGGGTGTGGCTTTTTCTCGCACCACTCAAACAGAATATAAATCTTCCCAAATTTGGTTTTATCACGTGAGCAGGTGCTATTACGAAATGCTGAGGTTGACGTTCTTCCATGAACCTTATGGATCCACGTGGAATGGTTGATATACATCTTTGCGACCTTTGACTCTCACAGTGCCGTTTTTTTATGTAATCGAAACTTCGAGAGAGCGGAAGACCTGGGTTTAATTACACACACTCACACATAACGTGTCCGGGTTAAGAATTTTTTAATTAATATATGGAGCACGGAAATAGTTTATCAAAGTATGTTTCATTTTTAACTACGCTTTTTGAAATAAAATAATATGAACATCTTTCATAACATTAAACAAGCAAATAGTGTTTGTTGTAAAGTATGTATAAATGCCATAAAATTGTTATCTTTCTTAGTGAAACAAAAAATAATTATTAATTTAATCAATCTGTTTTCCAGAATCTTTTCTATATATTCATTGGAAATGACAGGTGAAATGAAACATTCTTTGGAGTTTGCTATGTATATTTCCAAATGTAAACTTAATCTAAACAACGTTCATATTAAAATAAATACATAACAACAAATTCGTTACATTATAAACAGAAAAATGGAAGTATATGTTACACCTAAAAGTACTGATATTTGGGACAATGTGGTAGAAAAACAAAGATACCTATTGTTAGTGAGAATCTGCTAATTCTAATTTGTATGAATACCATAATAAGTAGATAATGACGAAATGTGAAGAAATTTACAAAAACAATAGCTATATTTGTAAAGAGTGAAAAGCTGCTTTGAGTAATTATTATAAAATTTGTACAATAAGCAAATAGTGTTTATACCGTTAAAGACATTAAGTATTCTGTGTTTTAGAAAATAAGAATATGTTAAGCTAAATTATAAATCTCCAATTAGAGTTAATAATACTAACTTTGAAGACTTGGTGTTTGTTGATTTTCGTCCAAAACTACTCGAGGGCTATCTGCGCTAGCCGTCTCTAATTTTGAAGTGATAGATTAGTGGGTTTGTTTGTAGTTAAGCACAAAGCTACACAAAGGGCTATCTGTACTCTGCACACCACGGGTATCGAAACCCGGATTCTAGCATTGTAAGTCTGCAGACATACCGCTGGGCCACTTGGGGGGGGGGGCAGGTTAGAGGGAAGACAGCGAGGTAACATTACCCACATTTAACTCGTGGGCTACTCTAATCTAATAGTGGGATTTATGACACAAATACGCCGCCAGATACACATAGTATGCTTTCTTTTATCTTGTAAATACTGTTGTGTATTATGAACCGACTTATAAATCGTTTTTAAAAGGGTAATAAATCACACATAGTTCCAGCTGACATGTATAGAAATTACACGGAAGTTCGAATTCATGATGTGCAGAATTCATTCAAAAGCTTTAGTTTATGATGTTCAAAATTTAAACAAAAGTTCCATCTTTATAATGTCCAGAATTTTATATGAAACTGAAACTACTAGTTCCTGTTGTCCAGAATTTTACACTAAACTTCCAGTTTATGATATCCAGGATTTTACAGAAAAATTCCAATTTATAACATAACATAAACTGACGTATATAAATATTATTTCATTTTGTTTGTAGTTGATTAAAAAGCTACACAATGAGTTATCTGTGCTGTGCCAACCACAGGTAACTTATATAAATGGCGTCCAATAGTCTAACAAAACAACCCTATTTTGTTATATTCTTAACTTTCTTTGGGTCATTATAAGCGAGAATTTTTCTCAAATCTGTTGTTGAACATTAACAACTATAATATCCTGTTATAGTACTAATTTTACTTTACGACATGATTGTTTTAAAATTGTAAATATAAGCACCTCATATTTAATAACAAGTGTAGATTTGTTTTAATTCTCAATTCGATATAACCTATTTTGTAATGCAAAGTAATTCGAGAAAGTATGCTTGATTGTGAAAAACTATAGACTTACAGTCTATAATCGCGAGGTTGCGCTTCTATTAGTGATATTTGATACAATAGCACATGTCAGATTGTGACGTAAAAGAAGCATTAAGTGTTCCAGCGTGATGCCTATCACTTGGCTCGTCTCCAAGAAATATTCACGTGCCATTGCAAAAGTCTTGTGCTTAGAGGTGTATATAAAGCCAAGGAGACACTTTGCTCCAGTTATAGCTTTCGATTGATGTTAGTGGAAGTAATTAATACTTGGAGTTGCTTTGATACTCCCATTCTAGGCCCGTTCTTAACAGACTACAATATACTTCCATAAATCGATACGATAAATTTGTTTTTCGCTGCTTCTTTGAGCTCACTTTGCCTTATTTTAGTTTCGAAATCGAAGGCACATAGCTTACTTTTTCGTTGTTTCGAACCAACTATTAATTTTATCATGGCTTTTATGATGCCTGTCATTAAACCCGATTACAAAATCTATTCGGGCCAAACACAAACAGCTCCTGGTGACGTGAAGATGTCCAAAAAGAGTACAAGAAGTGCATCTCTTACTCCTAGAATGTCCACGTATTCTGGAAGTGATATTGAGTATAGAGTGACTACCCCTTTCAAAGCTCTCAGTTCTAGTACATCCCGAAAAAGTTCTCATTGTGGTTTCATAACTCCGACTCCAAAATCGGCGTCACGAATGTCCATCCACAAGTTCCACAGCAACTTGGTTGACAAGCTGAAGAGAAAGTTGCGACTACAGGATTCTAAGAACAATTCTGGGGATGAAGTGTACATCTGTGACTCTTCGAGGGATGAAGAAACATATGCTCTGTAGATAATTGTCTACAGTTTGATTATGTTGTGTAAATAGACATTATCTGTAAATATTCCAGTATCATGTATATATGTATAATACGCAAGATACATATTTCGTTAATATTTTTTATTAATTAATTAATTAAATTATCATAACTTTATGATCAGATGTCCAACAGCATTATATGAGGTCAGCCTCTTTAAGGCTTTGAAATCAGAAGCTTTACCTTTTATGAATAAAAATATATAAGAAATTGAATTTGAGTTACTCAGAAATCAGCTGAGTTTGAGAAACAAGTTTAGTCAAATGAATTTTAGGTACATTTAAATATGAAAATGCATTCTTTTAATACAGAATTATTACTAATTAAAATACACATAGTATGTTTTCTTTTTTCTTGTAAATACTGTGGTGTATTATAGAAATGCTGTATCATGTACGTACAGTACTGGTATGAATGTCATTTGATAATTTTGTATCATAAAACAAAAGAAATTAAATATTTTTAGGTAAACAAAGTAGCTCTCGTTGGTGTTGCAGTCTTAAATGTTTTGAATAAACGTACTCCGTCATATACACGAGATGTTGTAGACTATCGTAGACTAGCATTGTCAGCTATTTAGGAGTAATAGTCAATACAAAATAATTAAAGGATTGCTTTAAATACTAGATAAGTATTATATTTTTCTTAACATATAATGCATTGTAACGATAGTTATTCGTTTAAAGTGCTTTATAAAAGCGTAGAAAGTGGGACATTCCCAAAATGTTACAGAGAGAAGATTTCTGGACTTTGTATTCAAAGTGACTCATTTAGGAAAGGACGTCGATAACTGAACAAAGAACATTTTGTATGCGTCTATCATATTGTTAATATAATCATATACCATATATATTTTAGACATGTAACTTCTCTAGAAAAACACACATACATACAAAAAACGCATCTTTATACAAAGACATACAAACACCTGTTTCGCACTATTTTGCTGGAAGGCGTGTAAAAAAAAACTAACATTATGTAACATTTAGGTAAACCTTAAAGTATACTGTTTAAATTTAAGAGCATAAGATATTCTTTGAGATGTTATTCAAATAGAGCTAATAAAGATTTCCAATATTTCTAGAAGTATTTCTTCAAGACATTGATTCACCCAGTGATATCAATGACATCATTAATTTACTGCTGGACCTTAGCAGTTCAATGCTATGTACTGTGTAAGGAAAGCTGATTAGGTCGAAACATGATACATATTTTTACATATGTAATATGTATCATAGGCTAAGATTCTTTCAAGGTTTCAAAGTCAATCAACTACAGTGTTGAAAAATGGGGGTTAGATATTAAAAGTACATAATTAAAATAATCTCAAATTACGTGAAACTCCAAGGAATCTAATGATTTAAAGCAATGTTGTGTTGAAATCCTTTTATACAATGAATTAATGAGTTCCCACACAGATGTTCATAGAATTATCTAGTTTCCCTATATCTTATTTGCATATATTCTGTCCTATTAAGCTTAACCTAGATTCGCGGGTCATTAGTTTATAAAAGTTCGTAATTTAAATTATTTTACAGAGCAGAATTTCCCGATTTCGAGCATGCCTTAAAACCTCAAATAAATTACATGTCACTTTAACCTAAATGTTCTAGGATTGTGTAAGCAGGTGTCTATGAAACCAGGTCAGCTTGCGAGAACAAAGATATTTGTGTTTGTTTATAAATATAGCTGTCAACGCGTTTCAGTAGTGTTGAATTAGAACGAGTGCAAGACGTCATTTGGGGTTATACAGTTTGTTTCGTCCAGCAACACACTTATGAAGTTGAAACGAAACGCCATAACTATTAAGGAAAGTAATCTATGGTTTCTGCACGTTTCGTCTAGACTGTGTAATTTCTATTTTAAACACTTCACAAAAACAATACTGCTGATTGTAAAAAGAATGTATTATATACATACAAAATTGCAAAGTAAACGATGTTTAGCATCGCGGTCTGCCAAATAAAATAAGGACTGAAACAGCAAGGCCTTGTAACATATTGAGGAGTCTAGACATAAGGTATGATTTTTCTGGTTTAAAATTCTTCTGTTGTGCTGTTGACATTAATATACCTGTGATTGTGTAGAGTATATGAACCTATCTTGGTTATTATTGCTATTCAACTTTCAATAAAAAGACTCTGTTTGACCTTTTACAATATTATATTTTTCCGGCAAATTATACCTTTGCCTCGTAGAACACATTTATAATCTACTGATAACTGATGTTCGTCAACAGTGTGGATTTTAACTGTGTTGGTAAAAATTATTAAAATTGTCTAAAAAAAAAGGAACATAAGTGTAGATAATCTGATAAAAAAATATTAAAATTGTCTAAAAAAAAAGGAACATTAGGGTAGATAATCTGATAAAAAAATTATTAAAATTGTTTAAAAAAAAGGAACATTAGGGTAGATAATCTGATAAAAAAAGTATTTCTATCTTGTTTGATGTCAAGTGAAACATAAAACTGATTGAATATTTTCAACATTCTCTCCCGTTTTATACGCTATGTGTACAAATGTGACAACGTAGCGATATGATTTTTTAAGAAGTAGTTTATTGTGTTTATCAAGAAAACAAAATAGTAAATATAGGAATTAGTTATAGTGTGATTTATCTGTAAGAAAATCGGCAAAACCTGAAATGCTTTTTCCACTGTATTACTAAATCGGCGCAACATTCAATGAAATTGACCTGATGAAACTAATAGGAATCTATACAATAGTTTTCATTTTTCCCCCTGTATTCGTACCTGTGTGTCTGCATTGACATAACTTTTTTCAAAACCTCGTACAATTTTGGACAAAACAACTCGATATTTTGCATGTTGGTTCTTAACTTGTAAAGATTATAAGCGACGAACGTTTTTCGAAAATTTCGTAAGAGTTGTCTGAAAATGGGACACCATTGAGATTTGGGCCAGGCATGGCTAGGTGGTTAGGGCGCTCGACTCGTAATCTGAGGGTCACGGGTTCGAATCCCCGTCACACCAAACATGCTCGCCCTTTCAGCCGTGGGGGCGTTATAATGTGACGGTCAATCGCACTATTCGTTGATAAAAGAGTAGCCCAAGAGTTGGCGGTGGGTGGTGATGACTACCTACCTTCCTTCTAGTCTTACACTGCTAAATTAGGGACGGCTAGCGCAGATAGCCCTCGTGTAGCTTTGCGCGAAATTCAAAACAAAGAAACAAACCATTGAGATTTTGAGTGGTATCTTGTATGAAACTTAGAATTAGCATCTAAGAAGCCGTTCCAAACACAAATATAAACTCAGATCACGAGAAAAAATTCAAATTGGAGCATCTGTACTGAAGTCAAATGGGTTTGGGGGAATTCAGGACTATATTCAGGAAGTTACGTGAAAATTGGCATCAACATGTAAAAGATCGCTCAGAATAAGTTTTTATGGTAGATTTTCGAAATGTTCATTCTGGGCTCTCCAAATAGGGGATCGAAAGGTTTGTGGGGACTCTCAGGATTAGCTGCACGGAGTAATCAGTTATCAGTTGTCTAATAATTGACTGTAATTATTTTTTCCTAAGTTGTAATCGTAAAAGATATACTTAAGTCTTTTTTTTGTTTTGTGACACAGGCAAGCAAGAAAAAATTAAAGTGGTCTTTTTAAGAATATCATTCCTTGTTTCTCATTAAAATCTGAATTTCTGAGGTGCTATATTTAGAACAAAATATGAGAAGCTGATATTTTAAGCCTGGCCGGTATCACATGTGCTTAATTAAGTTATATTTTTTATTAGAGGGAAGGAAACGTGTTAACAGCTATCGCTGCCTACATAGCTGCCCTTAATGGAATAACGGGATTGACTTACACTTTGATATCGTGCCCACAGCTGAATGGGCAGATCGTGGTACCATGTTCAGCAGAATATCGCGGGTTCTGAGCTTGGGTTTTTACTAAATGTGATAAATAGTAGGAAACTCTAAATCCAGTAGCTGTACTGACTATTACAGTTGCAAGGCTCCCAGAAGTGAAAATTCGGGACATTTCCAGCGACAAAACGCAAATGAAACATCTGCAGCCCTACGCGCTTTTCACTAAACCACACTCAGCGCATCTTTTAAGTAGAATATAGAACTTTTAATTAAATATCACGAGGTTAACTTACACAAGTTGTGAATCTGAGGAGACATGGTTCGTGACCCATTGCCGTAAAAATGTTGCGGGGGGAGTGGTTTAAGGGTGTTGGTACAACTCCACTTTTCGATCAGATAAGGGTGCTGTTGGTACATTGTCTTCCTTTAAGTCTATTAGTTCAAAACTAGAGACGGCAAGAAATTGTAGTTTGGTTTATTAAAACGTGTCTTACTATAAGTTGCTAGCACTTGCATTGTGAGCAGTTTCAGGTTCAAGTCCTGCAATCAAAAACTAAAATTACCGAAAGACTATAATACCAGAGGATGGTGCTTGTGGTAGCTTAATTTATCATGTTACGAATTACAATTTCAAATGGTCTGAAACCGAGGTAAATGATAATATAAATTCAGTAGTTAAACTGTACTTTGTATTTAGTAGTTAAGTAAAAGCCGTATATAGTCAGTTTATGATATTTGCCAACAAGATTGATACACACAGTTTCTTCTTTAATACAAATATGTTTTAATATATAAACAACAATACAATTTACAATAACAGTTATTACAAACAATGATTTATACACAAATAGTTCCACAAACTTACTAAGCAATATAAAGTACTTCTTTCTTAGTCTGGAACTCCCTTGATGTCTTATCGAGGGTTCACGATG